TTCATACTAATATATCATTAAAGCTACTGATTATCTTTTCAAACGTTTGTATCGGAACTATGAAAATTACTACAACATAGTCAAGATAATAGTTGGTCTTCTGTAAATTAACAATGTATAATACACTGTTAATGATATGGTAAGAGTATTGTGTGTTCACCGATGGATAAAATAATACAGATTATTTATTATTATACCACAGGAGGATGCTCTCACACAGAACGATTAAAATGTCACGTTATCCATATTCAAATACTTATTGACGGTTGCAATTCAATATTACTAGACTGGATTAATAAACATACATTACCGCTGTGGTTACACAAAAACCCACTCAAGTGACGTCATCTAATTTTCCCGAATCAGTCCGTCAGTTGCCATTTAACAATCAAATAAGTTTTTCTATTATCCAATGAAAAACAAATTTACGGTATTGAACTGTGCATTTCAAAGGTCACCACAGAAATAAAGGTTTCCAAAAACTCTTCCGCGTCGCCTCTTTGCCCTCAAGGAGTCTTCAAGGGACCGGATGTAAGAGGGTCCGTGAAAAATGATCCAGATCCTTTATGCACTCCTTTTGACGAGCGCTGGCAACTAAGAGTGGCAAAAAGGAAAAGTGGTTCTTCGGTTCGCCTTGTCTGTGTGTCTACACTTCAGAGATCTGGAACGGCTGAACGGATCTTGAAGAAATTCAATCTCGGGACCTGTAGTAAAATTCGTCGGTACATTAAAATGTCGGCTGAAATGTTACAAAAATCACGAGCTTAATGGGTCTCTGCGCGCAGAAGTGACATACATGATGGGGAATTATCAGCCACTCAACCGTAATATCACCAGGGCACTAGACACCCCTCTGAGAATTTTTGATCTATCAGCACATGTCCTATGTCATTAATTCAGGATAAAAACTCGAAATAAATTTGAAATATATCGCGTCTTATTCGTGTTTTTAATAAACAGTCTTCATTTGCAAAGAAATTGTTCCGGTCTGGCTAGCAGTAAACCACCAGACCACTAAAATTTGAAGAATATAAATGAAATGTTTTACTATATATCAAAAAACGGCATATTAATAATAATTCAGATCTTTACTTTAACGTGCTGGCTCAACTGGTTCAAAAGACAATTAAACAGTCAGCAGAACACTATAAAATAATTACTAAGGACAGAAAATAACAATAATGTGAAAAGGATATTAAACTAAATAGATAGGGATTAGCTCTATCTAGTGGGCCCAACTGAGTAGGAACCTGAAGACGGAGATAGAGCCTCATCTCCGAAACGTCGTTTTACGTTTTTTACGTTTTATTACTAGACGATGGATAATAATCAATCGATAAGGAACATGAATGATATTTTATTATCTTAATTATAAGAAATTTTAAATAAAAATTATATTGTGATCAGACGGATTAAAATAAATAATTGATATAATATTCACAATATGACGCAATTACACTATCTTATAAATACATAAAACCAGTCTGAACATTTTCTCGTGACGAAATGGCATTAAAAAAATACATCGCTTTTACCAAAAATTCATGTCACTTGCATCAATAACGCATTTATCTGAAGGACTACGTCTTAGTGCACAGCTCATTTTGAAAGTATAAAATTCTTTTATGTGCCTTGTATACACAGGAATATTAACAGTGTCCATAATAAAATGTCAATTTATTTGATCCTTGAATACAATAAAAAACAAAATATCGAGACGTTTCCTAAAATAAAGTATCTGAAAAAATAAATGACCCAATATTGCAACATAAAAGATAATATAGACTGGGAGATTTTCGTCGTATGTATTTTCTATTTCATTGGAGTCCATCGATGTCAGATTATTCCATATGACAGAGGCACACAACAACTTCGACCTAATTTCGTCAGTGCGTTGAGAAAAATCATAATCAGGATGACAGTGAAAATACAATTTACTGTTTAACATAATACCAATGTCTTTCCTACAAACATATGATCTTAATATTCTAAATGCTCCACACGGTTTTCAACACACCATTAGTGTACCAAATCAGTGCCTCCTTGTGGAGTTTCGCAGTATTCAGCATACTACGTCTTGATACACTTTCAGATCATCGGCAAACAAGATAAATTTGGTGTTATTCATTCTAGCAGAAATAACGTTAATGAAATTGTTAAATAAAAGAGGACCAAGGGCTTGTGGTACTGTCGACAATTCAGAAAAGAGAGAAGAAACCTTTCATAAGATACAAACGGGTGGAAGACGTACTTCATAAGTAGCTTTAAAACCGTTCAATATACAGTGAAGATAGTCTAAAATTATTAAGGTGATAACTCGCTTAAAGTTTGTATCATAAATAAAGCGTCCGGCATATTAGATAGGTCAGAACAAGTGAAGGGAAATTTGTTTGGAGTCTCAGCAGATGACGAAGAGTTAAGGACGAAGGATACGTGTCCTGCAAAGGGCAGCTCCGAAGTAGAGTTGTCTTAAAAGTACAATTTCCGAGTCTTCATATTATCAAATACAATTATTAACCAATCCAGTCTGCCTAAAAAGCAATTTGGACCAGTTTACGATAATATAAGATAAATAAAATAAAAATAATGTAACTTCTTTTTCTTTAAGATCTGATTTTTATTTTTGCTGCAAAACCACTGAGAATAGGTAGAGCCTGTCCTTGTGAGAAGCTAACAGTCACTCAGCTGGTCAAGAACTTTCCACCTTTCTAGAGACGCTAAGTCTTTATTCCTTGTTCCCAAGGATCCACCATTCAACCGGGTTACGATCATGAACCACATGAATCCAGTTTACACTCTCACAATTCAATTCCTGAACAACTAACACATTATTCCATCAATTTCTAGGCCTATCCAAATAGTGTTTTCACTTCAGATCATAAATTAATATGCTTTTCATATCCTTAAATACTCATCATACATAAAAATGTTTAAGCAATAAACATGTATATTAATGTAGTACATTTATGTTATGTAGTGATTTTTAAAAGTCGGTACATTTCTATGCGACATACATATACAATAGTGTTCATATTAACCGAATGCATAACAAATTGAACACGCTGAAAAAAATTTAGAGTAGACTCCCATCCATATTTAATCGGTTCTGCGTTACAGACGCTTGTAATATTTTTTATTTATTTATAGTGTTCTGTCTGACGACAGGTTCATATGAACAGGATCCTTCCATCCTTTTCTCGGACTGGGACCTGTTCATATACGTTCTTGGCAGATGATCCAGAAGTGGTTTGCCATTGCCTGCTTCTGTGTGTGAATAGAGTAATTGTTGATGAGCAGGATCCTTCCATCCTTTTCTCGGATTGGGACCTGTTCATATACGTTCTTGGCGGATGATCCAGAAGTGGTTTGCCATTGCCTTCTTCTGTGTGTGAATGGAGTAATTGTTGGGATGCCACGGAGGAAAACTCCGTGTTGCCTAGACCACGGCCTTGCCCAACACAAGTTATAAATTCGGGCACCGCCGGGAATCGAACCCGAGACCCCCAGGATTACAAGGCCAGCGTTCTAACCGCTAGACCACCGTGGCATATATGCTTGCAACATATTCATAGCAAATTTATTTTAATATTATCCTCCTATTTACACCTAGGTTTTCCAAAAGTTTTCTTCCCCTAAAGATCCGTACCAAAGTCCGAACACTGAATACGTATCAGATATAACTGGAGTTTGTCCTGTTACAAATGCATTATTACTTGTTGCCAAGTTAGAGTAACATGGCGTGTCTCCCTTTAGAACAAATTAGTTGCAAACACGTCTAGTCTCTGCTCAGCAAATAATGTCACGGTGGAATCATGTCCCCTTATATAGGAAGGAGACGACAGCTATGGAATAATCCAAACGGACGGGATTTGTGTTCAGAATGCAGATCCTTGCTCCGGTAACTCTGCTAAGCGGACACTTACGACAAACAATCTTGTGACGTCATCGTCACAAGTTGTAGTCTCAAGTCAAATTACCTTGTCTGTTAAGACGAGTGAGTCTACTCAAGCAATTTCCGTCTTTAAGTTTCACACACGTAATTTCACGATTCCAGGAAGTCCACCATAAAGGACGTCGTTAAACAAATACGCAATTAAATCGTGACATATATAAGGTGCGGATTTTAAAATATCGGACGTATTTTATATGTACTTTGATTAAACAAAGTAAAGTAGTTAATTTCGACATCTAACTGCACTAAGCTGCATTAAGACTCCTTTTCTTATCTGACCTCTTTACTTTAGAAATTAACATAAAATGACATTTCGTTAAACATTAAATAAACATTTAGTAAATGTTATTCCCGATCAAAATTACGTATTCAACTTACGTATTCAAAGATTACCGTCTTCCGGGATGTCGCGATGTTTAGTCTCGTCGGAACTTACTGCCTCCACCGTCAGTGCCCTCATGGTGGAGGCAGTAATTACCTCCGAAACGTCGATAAACTCCTTTCGCACTACACGGCACAAAACCCGAAAGACAACCAACTTCATATTCGGCACGGGATAACCTCAAAACCATCTTTCCGCTAATCAGTAATTAATTTGATTAAATTCAGATGTAAATTTTACACTTTAATAAATATCCATGTGTCAATTTAAATTTTCGTTCTTACATCCCCTTGCGTATTATATTGAACACTTTTAAGATGTTCTTTTGTCTTTGTTTCTAAGAAACGTTAACGTCTACCTTCGATTCTACGTGTCGTCAAAATCCATATGATCATATTCATCGCCGCGAGACTAAAATATCAATCAATATTTCTATATATATTTTGTTAGGGTCTCTAACGAACGTGCCAATAACCAAACCGATCACGAAATGGTTAATTTACGATATCTTCAGTCGAATCCCAAGCGTTGCTTTATAAATTATCCCCCCTGGCGGGTAAAATAAGCACTGAGCTACGAGTAGTGGATGCTACTTCTGACTTTATATGGTTTACGTATCGTTTCCAGGATTTATGACTCGACTGAAATAAAAGTCGTGCGACTTACCAATAACAGTAGCCAGTATCACAAGTCCAAGGACGAAGGCTGTTGCTACCATGGTGATGAGCTCGATCGTGGCTTCCTCGTCAGACAGTCCGGCCCCATCCTCGGTCCCGTTCGTCGCAGCGTCTAGTTCAACTCGTCCCGCATGTGAGGCGATGTTGGTTCCATTCATAATGAAAATAGACCCGTTGTTTTCAAGTACCTCTACTGTCGATACTGACGAATTATCGATATCTGAATAATCGGCACTTGTCCAATAACTGACGACGTGACGAGTCCCATTGTTAGCCGTCATAACTTCCATTGATCTTCGTAATGAGTTAAAGCCTAGATTGCAAACAAATTTGTTTATCGGCGCCATTTGAATCCATGTTACTTTTATGAAAAAATATTACGTCTGCGAGAACATTCAGATATTCCAGGCATCTTACACATACGTTTGAAGATTTTCTGGTCTTAATATCGATGTAACTTCTGCCCTTCGCAACATGTTATAAACAACTGTCTTAATTTTTTTAAAAAAACATCAATTTTAACTCGTGTTCTTATCAAAACAAATGCAAGATTACGACGCGCACTTCGGATTAAAGTTACGTTTCATAAGTACTACGTTCGATAAGTCGCAAATCAGAGTTCGATAATGCGTTTATACGTTGCATCTTTAGATAAAACAACTCCAGTTTCATTGCATCATTCAATTAAGTTATTTTACGACGCTGTATCAATCACTATATTATATAGGTGGCATTATTATAGCACTAAACAAACACACAGATAAATTTAGTAACGTGATGCCTTCATTTTGGTTTCACTTAGCTACGTGCTGTGTCCAGGATCGTATAGTCGCTGGCTTTCGACCTCTCTGTTTAACAGTCGTTCTTAGCAACAAAAGTATTTCTGCCACTTCTACTGGAAACTTCCTTTACGTATCATATTCTGTTACGAAGAGTCGGTTGTTTTTTTCCCACGAAAACTTAGCTACTTTCTGTCTTCCCCTCTCTGTCTGTCCTCATTCCTGCACTATTATTCTGCGTTATTCACTTTTCACTTCCGGTTTCTTTCTTCGTTTTCAGTCTGTAGTCTACATAAAGTCTGCTTTTCCTCGGGTATAATATGACTGACAGAAAGTTAAAGTTGCTTTATGCTGTTCAGAACACACGTCCTCGTAGCAAACAACTTCAACAATGATGTCAGATTGGAAAAATCTTTTCGCGTCTTGTTTAATAATAAACACGGCTAACGAATTTGCGTAATGTACAGTTTGTAAATATGTAAAATATTCACAGTGCTACACAGTTAGGAGAAACTTTACTTCAACTGCACCACTCCTGATAAATAACCATCACATCACTTTCATTAGTTGTGTTAATTATAGCACAGTGTAACATACGTGAAATAAAACTAATATTTACATAATTAAGAGAACGCATGCTTACTCAATAGTTAATGGATCACGATCTGTAAACTAGATGCTAGTTACAAAACCACTATGTCCGTTTGCCTTTAGTTCTCCCACATTGTTAACGACATTTATCTTAGTGCACATGTAAAAAATCGAAATATTAAACAAAGAGTTCATTAATAAATATGTCTATTGAGTTTCAAAAGCTGTCAAATTATTTCACTCTAGAAAACTTGTCCCCCATATCAGGCAGTCTTCATCAGAATTAAGAAGGCTGTTTATATCTGAACTTCATACAATAAAATTCGCATTAAAGCCAAACAAATATTTTCATTACTGCACATTATGATTCTAAAGGTTTTAAATGTATTCATAACTGTACCTGATTAAAAAATAAAGAAACTACAAATGTTCAGCGCAACACTTTACACACACAAGCTGGTAAGCATTTGACGAAAACAACTCTCGTCCACTATTACACACGCTGCAACGTGCGGGCGAGATGTGCATTTGTCAAACTGGTCCACCGACTACGTGTTACGCCCGCCACGACATACGTGACTCCTCCTCCTCGTGCTACGTCACAGCACATCCCTCGTGAGCATGCGCTGACCGGTCCGAGCCGTTGCGCTTCAAACCGGCACTCTACCTCCGCTGACACGAAAATCAGTAGAGCACGGCAAAAACATTCCCAAAATTCGCACGCTCACAAAACAGTGCATAACACAAAGCTTCAAAATTGTATCAATAGGCACGTTTTGGTTTTAGTGTCTTCAAACATTCGCGTTTTGCTATCATTGCTAGTAAGCTGTTATGGTTAGAACTTAACCATGCCAGGAACTAATCTGATTCGTGAACTGTCCACCGGCGCTTTCAAACTCTTTAGGTTATGTAATGATAAATGGTGGAACGTATGATGGTCTGAGAACGTTGAACTGGCGTGGAATAAAGCGTGCGTGTCCTATTTTATTGAAATATCGCAACTTTTGTCTAAAGGGACTAAGTAAAACCACGGAAAACCCTTTCAGAATAGTGTATCAACATGCCAAATTCTAATCCGACCACTCGTATGAAGCCATCAGGTTGCATAAGTTGCAGGGGCGACACATACGTTCTTAATCGCAGTACTCGGTTGAATTGCATGGCCAGCGTCATGCTCCCGCTGTGTTTACCCTCTAGGAAAGAGAGCAAAATGCCAATAAGATATGGAACTGTTTAAGCACTACGCTATGAAGGAGAATATATGTCGTTTAGGTAAACACGCACATTTCTTAAACTTGATGGACGTGTAAAATCGGTTTCATACTTCAGTCTAATTTAATTATTTTTATACTTGTAGGAAAACACCCAAAAAATACAATGTATGGGATAAGATTATGGGAATATTCATGAAAGTAGATGTTGATGATGGAAGATATTAATTATTTTAAAATGTGTAATAGGTTTAAATTAATAAAATTAACGAAAACGTGAAAGGAATAATCCTCTAGAAGGAATCATGAAATTGGGCAAGAGTTTCAGCGACCATAAATGGGAAAGATATTAATGGTGGAGCTTAAAGACAGAGGCAGGCACACGGAGAGTTTAGTAACTATAGAGAAACTGTAGATGACACTCATAAACAAGTGAGTTAATACGAAAGAATGCACAGTGCACAAATGTAAGAATAAACAACAGTTAAGAAGCGAGCATCTCTTCAAAACTTAGTACGTACTTAAGAGTAGTTGCAGTAAACGTTTATTAATTCATTAGGGCTTAAATATAGAATAATTTAAAATTAGCGGTAACGTAAAACGTTGAGATTGAAAAATTAATATAAAGTAAATTAATGTTCTATTTAAAAATGATAATTCAGTAACCTCGTTTAAACTTAATCTTAAAATAAACACGTGGTTTAATGCAACGGAGAACAGAACACCATTAGACGTAAGTGAAGTCGGAAAACAAACAAATCGATGTTGATCTTCTGGGTTGTTAATTCGTGTGGACTGTACGTACCAACGTTTCGGAAAAATACTACTCCTATATTCTCCTAAACGTTGTCGTGTACCTAAGAATCCACAACGCATGAAAACCGAGAACAACATCGCCATCTTTACCGTCGTCAGACGTGGCAGTGGCGTAACATTCAGCAAAGAGATCCCTCCAACTGCGTCTAAGTAATCCTGGGGCCTCGGAACAGAAGGCACTTGGCAGTACAGGTTTCCCGTTTGTTTTATTACATTGAAATCCGTAAGATTTACGGAGAAAATGTACTGGGCATAAAATTAGTTTGAGAATCGCGTGCGTGTCCATATGAATCCATAAATGCAGAAAGGGTATAACTCCAAAATTCAAAACTTTTTAGAAAACATAAAAAACTCTCTCTGATCAGTAAAACTCAAGATAGAGAGTTGAACTTTGTATTAGAGTTAGTTTCAATCAATTTGCATCTTTATGCCAAATTTCAGATTTTTCGATCCTATAGTTTAGCTTCACGTGGGTTAATATTTGTTGGAGTTATGCCCTTTCTGCAATTAAAGGTGTTTTAACAGGATAAATAGATTAAAAACAAAGGAAAACTCACTGTTACATCATGGTAATTATTTTTTTTAAAATATAAATACAAACACAGAATACTTCAAAACATAGAAATAAAATTTTTAGAAGAAATTAAGTTTTTGTATTAATTTTTCTTTAATTAAATTAAATAAATTTTGTTAGCAATAATAATTTCAATATTAATCATCATCTTTGGTTTACTCAAAGATGGTCCAAGACACATTTTTATTGTTCCTGCGATTAACAATAAATTTCAAAGAGTTGTTTGGCTGGTTCCTATCAGTGCATATACACCATTCATGCACCAGCGGGTGTATTTAGTCTTCAAGATACGAAAAGAGCAAAAATATTAAATTCGAAAAAAAATGGAGTTATACCCTTTCTACATTTAGAGATTCATAAAATTTCCGTTATTTCTGTCTGATTGTAACTAAAATTGATATGTGTCAGAAAATTTATTGTAACTCCTCAATGTAAAATTAAAGAGAAAATCCTTTTGGCTATTCTCGGACACACATAACGAAGGTAATAAGCGAATTTTTGGTAACACCGCGTTGCAAAGAGTAGAAAAAATAACTACGGTATCAAATTAATGCAACCTTCATTAAACATGTAATGGTTGTAAGGATAGAAATCCATGTTTTGGAATGAGGTTGTAGTACCTTGGTAAATACATAAGTAAAGACTAGAAAGGACTCGGTGGCAGATATCATCGTTTGTGAAACCGCTTTGTAGCATGTGAACGTGATGTCAGCACAAGATGGGCTTCAAGATTAAAATTAACCGCGAGAAAGGATGTCACGTGTAACATGAGCGGTTTTACAGCAGAAGTTTTTGGCTAACTTGAGATTAAACCGTGGTGAAATCCGATTTTCCACCCGATGCTGTTAAAACCACGTCATTCCCCAAGGGTTTGCAATCCAAACGTTAGCTGTACAAGTAGTAAACTATTAATCATAGGAAATACTTCAGCATCCAACAGCTGATCTCATCCCTACTGCCGGGACTTCATAAATATATTTGCTTATAATCATATAACAGTTATATAAAAGTGATTTAAAATTATAAATATTCCACTTAAGAATTTTTGATACATCAATCTTTTGCCGCCAGAGGTAAATATAACGAGGCTTAGTTACGTCTTACTTCATCCTTAAGGAGAATAAGATGGGTAAGACACGTAGCATATTTAGTATCAAAAGAGTTCGGAGAATACCGACAAGGATATTCGGCCCTGGTGGGAGGAGGGACACTTGTAGTTCGCACAGGGGGACAGATGACGTTCTCCAGCGGACGTAAAATCTCTGTGTGAGAAGAATGCGTGGACAGACGAACAGTGGTGAGTAAAACAAGACAGGAAAACAGCAGAGAACACGTGAGACGACTGCGAACATAAATTTTGTAAAGAGTAGTTACGCAGGAGCCGAAGAAAAACGTCACAGCGAAACAGTGACCAGACTCCCAAGAAATCCCGTGATCTCATGAAACCGATAGTTCATTACAGTGTCCACAAAAGTATACTGTGTGATCATTTATTTAGCCAAATACTCACTCCATGTTTCTTATGTTTCTAAACAATGTTTTATTACTGCTAAGAAATCTATGCCTTGCTCTACCAAGTGGTCTTTTATTTAGTTTTCACATTAAGATGGTTAGAACGCTGGCCTTGTAATCCTGGGGTCTCGGGTTCGATTCCCGGTGGTTCCCGAATTTATAACTTGTGTTGGGCAAGGCCGTGGTCTAGGCAACACGGAGTTTTCCTCCGGGGGCATCCCAACAATTACTCCATTCACACACAGAAGAAGGCAATGGCAAACCACTTCTGGATCATCTGCCAAGAACGTATATGAACAGGTCTCAGTCCGAGAAAAGGATGGAAGGATCCTGTTCATATGGACCTGTCGTCAGACAGAACACTACAAATTAAAAATACTCTTCCATTCTCCTACATTTATGTTCAGTGTTTGTCCATTGAATCCTACTTGACATTTATTTATTTATTCATAGTTTATTTGACAAATCGTTTTCAGTAACTCTAACCGTTAGTTAGTTGACATGAGCATCTTAATAAAGATGTAGATTAAAAGTTAAATAAGATTTCCTGTTCTCGGCTGTTGCGCCATTTAGGTCCGTAGAAGTTTACCGACGTTTCAGAGGTGCCTGCTGCCTTTATTACCAGGGCGATGACTCATCGGTCTCTATAGCATCTGTTAACTTTTGCTGGAATACGTCATAACAGCACACAAAACAGCCATTTGTATGACAGATAGTTTGCTCCATTCTGTTGTTAATTCCTTTGTCTTACGTCCAAATATTTCCAGCATTTGTTGACAATGACGAAAATTACAAGGGATTAAACTGAGTTAATTACGCACGTAGGAACGTGTAGTGACTGTGAAGTACAAATTATGTCACTCAGATCCTTAAGATTATTTATGCGTTGTTTGAGTCAATAGAATTTTAGTTCTGCCACATATACACTGATGAGGAAATTAAAAAGCAAGTATATTTTACTGTATATATTATTAGACATCAGTAGGTTATATGAGGGTGGTTTAGGTTAGATTAGGTTAAGCTGGGTAAGGTTACGTTAGGTTGGATATGATTGCGTGGTTCAAAATAGGAAAGGTTGTAGAAAATTATGTTAAGGGACGGTTAAGTTATGTTAGGCTACATCACTGAGGTTAGTAAGGATGGATCAGGTAGGGTGTTTTTTTATGTAAAGTTACGTTGCCTTTGGTAAGGTCAGGATAGATTAAGCTGTGTTCGGTTATGTTAGGTAAATTGATGTATTGGTGAGGTTAGGTTGGGCTGGGCTGCTGATTTAGGTCAAGTGAAGTTGAATGCGGTTATGTTAGGTCAGACTGTGTGGTGCTAAGGTGTGACGGTTTCCGTAGGCTAGCGATGTGAAACACGTCACTCCCTTGTGGCAGAACCCGCAGGTTCAACACCGACAAAACCATAGACCGCCA